ACATTGTACTACAGAAAATCAAAATAAACAAAAACAAATCAGATGTGGAAAAAACAGGTTGTTACTCAGTAACTATCATGATGTATTCATTTGTAAAGTTACAAAATCACTCACCACCATGAGATTACTGTTTGTAATTAGAGACAAATAAGATTTTTAGAAGGGAAAAAGTCATATTTTCATGTCACATGATGGACAAAATATGTATATGAAATATGTGACCTTAATTTCACACTTCATTCCAAATTTGCTGTAAGGAATTCCTATCAGCTTTCTGTTACTCTACTTCAGAATTAAATTGTCCATCTAGCAATAGTTTCCAGTAGAATCCTTGGCAGACAATTTCACATCAAACATTATATTATATGGGTTCTTTTTTTTAAGTATTAGTACATTGCATGTCAGCACAAACTGAAATTTAATTAAACAAGAAACCCCAGCCTTATTTTTGGCACATAAAAGTTGACAATTTTCTTTTTTCAAAGTAAGAAGCACTAACATGAGAAGATGGGCACAAGCTTGGTTGTATGAGAAACATTTTAAACCATTTTATCTATCTAAAGAAAATATAAACATGTGTTCACTAGCATTTGTCTAGAAAGGTTTCCAAGCAAGATAATGCTTTCAATATCTGACAGACCAAGGCAAATGATTTAAAACAGAGAACATTCTACGAAAGCCTTTTAAAACATGGTGTTGTTGACTGACAAGAAATGTCTCCATGCTTGGTGAGGAAAAAGTGAGTACTTCTGTGCAAGAAATAAACTGGGAAAACTGGAAAGCTTGAAAGCTTTGAAAAATGTGTTTCTTAAAGAATGCTTATTTTCAAGGAGGTGCATATGAATTTATCAGCCTTAGTATTTAGTGAAACATTACAACATCAGTGAAGTCAAACTACTTTGGAGTCCCTTCAAAACATATCTTTTCAACATGCGAAAGTCCTGCAGGGAATGAGTGAGAATGGGATTTTGCTCCTTCTAAATATACATATCAAATATGATAAACTTATAGGAGTTAACTACTTTTTGGCACAATATTACACTTCTACATGCACAAGTGCACATGCACACGCACACACACAAACACACATGGCTACCTTAAACTAAATAAAATGTTGACATCAATCATTTCAGCTTTTTGTATGGACTTTGATCCAATCCTTCCTTTTTCTAATTCCCTTCCACCCCTGCAGCCCTCTATGTCTCCATGAATTCTGTTCTGATGGGTCAAGGAATCTTCTAGAACAGCATGGGGCTGCAGCAAATGGAAGGACTTGCCAAAAAGTGTCTCTTCCCTATGTTCTGTCACAGAAATGTTCAGAGTAGGCCCTTTTGCGCAGAGAGCTTCTGCTGATGGAAACAAATTCTTCATCCAGCCCAATGGATCTAAGAGTTTCTTGGACAATGGCAGGTACTGAAACTTCTCTGGATCCAGTTCAAGGTCTTTTGAAAAGGAACACTGAATAATTTTCATCCAAATGAAATGGACATTGCTTACTGATTTCATGCATGAAGGTGACCTCTGGCCTACAATGTCCTCAGAATTATATCACTGACAATTCAAGAGTAAGCCATGAGCTCACAGAGTTTGCTCTCCACTGCCCTCAATACAAAGTAAAGACCTTAAGCTCAGGTAAAAAGAGATACTTCTTCAAATATGAAAGATCCCTGGGCCCTGCAAGATGTGGTTTGGAGATTCCTTCCCACAAACTCAGGGAGCTCTAAAGTGTGCACGATGACAAGTTTAAATTGACTTCAATCTTGTTTGCTTTCTTTTCTTTTTTTGTAAGCTACATTTTAAGCCTAGTCTGCCTGTGGAAGATGATTTCCCTCCTTTTATATACCATTTTCTGTACCTTTGTCAGTCCCAGCACTATACTAGACACAGGACAACTAATGCTGTACATGTCTCTGTGTTATGTGCCATCAAGTTGGAACTGACTTATAGGGACCCTAATATAGCTTTCAAGGTAAATGTAAGATAGTCCAATCCTATCCTCAGTGAGTTTTCATGGTCAAGCAGGAGAACCCAGGCCTCCACAGTCCTAGACCATCACTTTACAACACAACACAGGATACCCCCAAACTATACTTATGTTTTGTATAAACTAAGGTTTACCGTATATGTGGATAATTGTACTATAGCAAGTTTTTTGTGGTTTTTTTAAGGGATTACCTCTTTCCTATGGTGTAATTTAAATTTTCCTTTTAATTTTGGAAGGATACTTAGTTTATATTTTTAGTGAGTTTTCAATTACTGCTTCAAACTCTCTTTTCTTGGTAATCACAACCAATCTGCAGACATTTGCCCTTAAACTCATTCTCATGTGTTAAGCGATTTCTAGTTATGCTACTTGGAGTTCTCCCATTTCAGTCAGGAATTTTACTACACAATTTCAACTTCATCCAAATTAAATGGACATTGCTCACTGATTTCAGTTATGAGATGATACTGAAAAACTGCCTTTGGGCGGTATCCTATTCTACTGCTTGAGTAAGGTCTGATAGTCCCCAGCAGGCAGCAGTAGAGAGCAAAATTATCCCTTGTCATTTCTACAGACAAGAGGATCTCCAGAGGTGGAACAAACTTCACACTTCTTGGCCTAAATGCTTCACAGTTATCTTCAAACTTGTACGGTTTGTATTGAAGATTCTGCTATTGTCATACTTATAATGAGAGCTGCAAGCCTGTGCTACCTCATTTTCACAATATTCCAGATAATTTATGAGCAATTTATACAGCACTAGCCCTAATAGATTTCACAAGGCTTCCCACTCTCACTTATTGAGATTGTGTGAATACTATCTGCCCTTGGCCTACTATCTTGTAAATAGTTTCTAATCCACAAGAAAGCTTTTCCTCTTAACCACAGGGGCTGCAGAGTTTATTTAAAAGCTTGTTGACAGACTTAGTGAAAAGCTTTCTCAAAATCCAATTACACAGTGTCCATAAGACACCTGTACCGCCATGCTTGTCGACACCCGGAAGGAACTGTAAAAAGCCATTGCAGTATTCGACATCAACACATGCGTACGCTCATCCTCAATTCCCAATAAATTAAGAATTTCAGAAAATGAAGACAGTTGCATCAAGGAAATAATATTGAACTCTGTCATCAGTTGTGAAAATCAGAGAAGCAAATTACTCGTAGATCTTGCTCTGAGCAGAGAGATAAAACAGAATGTGAAGCACTTTGAGAATCTTTGCTAAGAAGAAATGAAGGATTTCACCCCTCCCAAGGACTCAGGGAGGGAAACCAAGAGACACAGGCATCTCTGATAACCCAACAAAGTACAGCAAAATGGATTCACTTCATGTGCAAATCTCTCTGAATTAGTGGATACAATTTGTAATTAAATTGTGCATTTATATTTATAATAGGTATTACCAATTTATAATCAAAATGATACCCCCTAAGTCAAGCCTTCTTCTGCATGACTAAACCAAACAGAGCACTATTTTTTAATCCTGGCACAATGTCCTCTTTCACAAATGGCAGAAAGGAAGAACTTAAATGAAGAACAGAACCATAACTACAGTAGATGTTGAAATGTTCAGTAAAAGGAAAAAACAAGTTGCATCAAGGAAACAACTTGTTTTACTCAGAGACAACCAATTCCAGCCACAAGCAAAGGTATTGAGTGGGCCTACAATCTGTTGTACCCTGACAGAAGGGGAGATGGGTTAAATCTCCTTAGGTCACTTCTAAACACAAACCACTAGGTTCAGAGGAATGCAAACAACATGGTTTTGTGCAGAACAGGAGCCTAGTCCAAACGGGAACTCCACAACACTTTCTAACTGAAGCCTTTGGCCTTCTAGTACACTCTCCTAGGACCACTATACACTGGGTGCATATGGACTGCAGTGCCTGTTTCTTGCTTCCACAAAAATATACACATACACCTACACTATGCCTGTTCCAGGAGCTGTTTCACTAATTGCTGTTACATTAATATTCTCAAGGTAGAGATCCAAACTTGTTTTATACTAATTATTGCCAGGCCTCCTCATTCCATGGACTGGACCCAGTTATAAAATAAAATAACCAGCTGCTCCCTGTTTAATTTACATGAGTAATTTTATTGTTAGCCACCCGGAGTAGACTTGGGTCTAAATAGGTGGGGTAGAAATTTAATAAATAAATAAATAATACCAAAGAGGCAAAGGTGATTTTCATTTCATAAAATGCAACAAGGAATCACCTCATTCTTAAAACTCAAGATTGTTTTCTTAATTCTAATACTTCTATGCACCTGATTTGCTTTTCTGAAATAGTCCTATTCAGATATTCATCCTGTGTGGAATAAGACCACACTTACTGGTAACACCTTTATCTCTGCCACATTCCTGTCATGATTAAGAGTACTGCACAATGAAGATGCTCTACACAATAGAAGCTACAAACAGAATGGAATTTCCCCTTTTCAGAACACAAACAGAAAGCTGGGCAGGCGCACTGGAAAATAGGATGGTGGCCCTTTGAACAAGTAAGCACGCACCTGCTCTATTGCTCTAAATCATATTTTTAATATGATTTAGATCACCCAAAAAAGCCTCAAAGGGGGGATGTCACAGTTTCTGCATCTCTAACAGGAGCTCTTGCCTACTGTGGATATAAATGAATAAATATAAATACATTGGAATATAAAAGAAACCCCCTTTTTGTGCTATATATCATAGAATTATCAGACAAGATATGAGGAGGGGAGAAAAGATCAACCTCTGACATCCTACTATAGAATAGTTCTCATACCGTTAACAGGCATGGACACCCTATGCACCAAAGGCATAACCCACAGTGCTTTGTAACATGGTAGTACAGAACATTGCAACTAATTATGATACACCTTTGAAAGAGTCAGTTTTCCCCTGTACACCACAGATTATCAAATGGGAATAAGAAAGCAAGGAAGAATTTGTGACTTTTGACAATTATTCTTTAGAGGGAGGAAAGATAACAATTGCCAAAAAAATCACAAAAAGGTTTGACATGTTACCTGGCTATGACAAAGAGCACACAACTGACACCCAAGTAAGCCAGCAGAATATACATCCAGATATCAGGGGAGAGAGGATTCAGGAAGGAGAAGACGCCCGGGTTTGTACCATTGGGCTTGCGGTACAAAATACTTATTCCAAGAGTCATAAAGGGCTTGGAAAAGTCGATGACTGTCTCTCGAACATAGGTAATAGCCAGCGGTGCAACTGCAAGGTCAGCTTTCTGTTTATAGGGGGGGGGAGAGAAAGAGAGGGAAAGAGAGAGAGAGAGAAAGAAAGAAAGAGAGAGAGAGGAGAAATTGGCCATAAGTCAAAGCAGTAGGCAGAAGCAGGCAATCAAATTAAGCAAAACAGAAACATTACACTTGGAGAGCCCTGTCTCAACACCTCTTGCTCTGAAATTTAAAGCTTTGCTATTTGTTCTCTTCCTCCAGTAAAGATTATTTGTACCCTTACTCTTCCCCCTGAGTTTTGAACACTATCATGTTTGCTGATATGGAGGAAAAACTGAAAGAAAACTTGTAAAATTGTTTTTAATGCCTCTTTTCCAACTCATATTTGGTTTGAAGATTAAGGGTGGTTTTTGGTCACAATGTGTTGGAGAAAATCCCAGAGGTGAAAGAGAACAGATTTTATGCATGGAAGCTTATTCTCCATTTTATTAAGACGTATAATTCTTACACTGGATCAACCCAATTAGAGAGTTAGATTCATATTTTAAATGTCTGAATCACCATCAGTTCAGAAAATCACACCACTAGACCTGCACAGAGTTGTCCCTGTCCCCACCTTTAATAATAATGATGATAACCATAAGAAAACACAAATGGAATTCAAAGAATTTTCAAGAGTAGTTTGGAATACCTACTGTTATTCACACATTTTTTAAGTTCCCATGGAATTCCATGCATGGAATTTTCATATTCCTGGAAGAACCCCTCTGGATCACACTCTTAAGGTCTGATTTGAAAGTTCAGTTTGCATCAACACGACAGACTGTCTTTAGAAATTTGTGTTCAAGGCAACCATTCCCTCACCCTTTTCTAAAGTTTCCTGTTACTTGAAAACAATTGATTCCATGACATCAGAATACAGCTGATGGGACAGAATACAGGGGACCATTTTTCAAACTGATTACAGAATAAGAGGGTTTGGGGGTATATAATTCTTACATTGGATATTGCAAGACCTACATTATCATACATGCTGGGGTTGGAAGGTCTGATTGTTCTTCCCCCATTTCCATTCTTTAAACTTCCAAGTTCTTTCTCTCTCAGAATTAAATTTGTCAAGGTTTATTAAGTCTTCAAAAATGAATACAGTACAAGCAAAATGTTTCCCCATACACTCTGTCAATTCAAGAGGTACAACTATTCTCAGCCTGGAGATGGCCTGATATACAGGTTTTTAAAAATGACAACACTCTCAGAGAAAGAATATGGCAACCCTAATATAGCCAGAACATGGTAGAAAACAGAGAGATTTAATTCAGAGTTCTAAGGGTGTTGCAGCCAAAGTCCTAAGCTGGTAGTGGGTGGAAAGCAATCTGTCGGTTTCCACAATTTTGGAATGTTGACAAACTTAATTGCTCGCAATTCCATGTATAAGAACATTTGTGAAGTTGGTTTAATTCCTGTCAAACAGCTATTGAAACAACCACTGAAACCAAATATTTATCTATCTGTGCACCCGGAACATATGAGATCTTTCACTGTCCCTCATTTGCACCAGGTAGACCCCAGGCAGCACTTTAATCATGGGCAGTAAAGCTCTTAATATTTACTTTTTCAGAGGAGAATGCAGGGACTAAACTTACCCGATTGCCTGCTTCTGGCCAAAGTGGCAGCTCAGGCATTTCCCAGAGTGCTCCCTGGTTCTAGCAGTCATGATGGCCTCCACATGTTCTTCTGTGACCAACAGGGATGCTGGGAGGCCATCTGCCAGGATCACAGAGCAGGCGGGCTCCCCATTGGCCAGTCTGCACTGAGGGAGGAATGCCTGGGAGGAGGTGGACCTGGCTGGAGAAGGCTTCAATATAAAATAGATTGTGGAAGCACTCCAGTCATTCAGCTGCTCACCAGCTTTTTTTTTCCCCTCCCTCCACTCCGCTTGTTGTGTTGGCATACAGTGAGTGGCTATTTGTATATTCTTAATCTTCAGGATGGTGGGTCAGTGGGTTGCATAGCAGTTGCAACTAGTCATGTTGGAGTTTTTCCTCGCTGCCAATGTGTCTGGTGGTATACATTTCATAGTAGTTGTTACAGGTCATGTGGATTTTTTTTTTTTGCTTGTTGTCAGTGTGTTGGAATTTTACCTCCTGTCACAACTTTGTTGGTGGTTTGGGGGCACTGGACTGGATCCAGTCATTGTTCAGGCCGCCAACAGGAGCCAGTCATCCCTAGGTTATAGAATAATCCACTTAAGGGCAGCTGGGGACAAGGTATATGTCTGGTTTATTTCAGGGGCCTAAAGCCCAGTCTTGTCCTTGGGTGGCAGAGTACCACGGAGTGGCATATGCCCACGTGGCTTCCAAAGAGCTGTCACTCCTGATGATGACCCTCCATGGAACACTGAGGGCTGGTGGTGGTCTCTCCCAATATACTGGATGCATGTCCAAGGAACTGATACTGTAACCAATATTTCCTTCCGAAAAAGGGTTCGTGAGTTATTATGGGTAGTAACTCAGGTAGCCTGGACCTTATCAGCTCAAGACTGACAATGATCACAGTTTGGAAACTGCTGTTTTGGCTTGTTGTTGTATTTTACACTGCTTTGATGCCCTATGATTGGGGGTTTCAAGGAAGAAAAAAAAAGGTGCATGCAGGGAGACAGTTCCAAGCTTTGTCCCTGACCGTTACATACATATGTTCAGTACGGTATTCTTAGTTTTGCATTGTCATTTTTTGTTTTGGTTTGCTTTTTTTTCTGCTTAGTTGTGAGACTTCTTTTCAGCTGCCCAGAGTGGTAGATATACCAGATGGGCGGGATATAAATTGAACAAATAAAATAAAATAAATAAATAAATACATTCCATGTGTATAACAAGATGTTATATTTTTCATGTTATGTTGTATTATAATGCTCTTCTCATCAGCACTGTTAGTTGCCTACCAATGCAACGGTATGCAATTCTGCTCAGAACTGTGCTACGCTAAGATTAGGTGGGCAGATATAGAATTATGGTTTCGGTAATTTTAGGCATTCTTCTATTAGGAAGGCAGGACAAAAGTGATTTGATGTATTCAAATAACCAGTAAAGAAATAGGTTGGTTAGGAATGAGACCATATTCTTTCACATATCATGGTATTATTCCTAGAAAATTCCATGACCACATTTGTAATTAGTTCTGTGTATATGCATGTGCTTGATAGTAATGTCTGTAGAAACACTGATGTATAATTTCAGCTTTTGCTTTAAATGATTTTTTGTATTTTTATAATGTACATCCTGAACATAAGGGTGGCTGAAAAGCACCCTTTAAATATGCATTAAGTAATCAACTATACATTGTTTTTAAAAGTGCAGTCTGAACAGCAGTTTACTAAAAGTCACTGTGAAATAACCAGCCAGCTCTCCAGTCAAGCCTGGAACCAAGATCAATGTACAATAGCATTGCCTTGCAAAAGAATCTCTTTTATGGGTGACATTTGAACATGTAAATGAATGATAAGAAATACAAAACAAGTGTGGGGGACAAAGTTCCTTGAATCCTAAAGTGTGGACAGAGCAAACTGACCCCAACCAACTTAGTCCACCAGCACTTTATGACTACTGTATGTCATTTTGTCTACATGGTAAAATGCTATCCAAGGAGCTTACTATTCCCAGAAGTGCAGGAACTCATTTAGTCAAAATAATAGTTGCTATCTGCTCTAGGGGCAACTTGCCAACCTGATAAGTTATAAGAGTCATATTTTGCCACCTTGGTAAAAGCAAGAGAGATTTCCATGGAAGAAAGTCTGACCATTTATAGAGATCAGTAACTGCACCATCAAAATTCAGTTGTTTCAAGTTGAAGAGAAATGTAAACAAATGAAAGAAATATAAATTCAAGGCAGCACAGAGACACACAAGAAGACAACATGCCACACACATCAGGTACCAACACAGATACCAAAGATCACCAGACAACATGTAGCAGCACACAACTTGCATCAGCACCTTACAATAGATGAGGACAACATGTATTTTCTTCCATAGATTCAAGCTGGTTTAACTGAGTGAGTCCTTAGAATATTTTTCACGTGTGTCCAGTAACAGTATTAAAGGTTTAAGATTATGCAAAGCTATAATGCTTTTTTACTTTTTAATGACACATTTTTGAGATGTATCTTCTGCCTTTCAATGTGCCTTTTTAGATTATAAGTTCCTGAATTTTTTAAATGTATTCTCCTCCAAAATTTAAAACATAATTACAACATGATTTAGGTTCCGCTTACAACTTTTGTTTCTGAATGTACTTTTTTTGTGCATCTTCTCATAGTTTTAAGAATGATTATGGCAGTCACACTTGAGGCTTTTCATAAATTGAAAGACTGGATTTTGGTTTAAGCATTTCTGCCTACAGTTCTTCCATGGCTATAAGACTTTTGGATGTTTTCAACAACTTTGAAGTATTTTTGTGCATATGGAACATAGAAGCAAAGTAGACAAATAAAACTTCTAGAAGTAAACAAGCTGATATTGTCTGTATAATTGCTTTAATAATGAAGCAACTTTTTGTATTCTTATACTAATACCTCCATCTCTAGTTCAGACTTACTTTAACATAGTAAGTTACAAATAGAGTAGGCTCATTTGACTCAGTGGAGCTCATGGAGGAGTTGACTCACAAATCCCCACTGATTCAATGGGCCTCTTGTAGTAAGTGGTCACATTTCAACCATTGCATTATTAATTGAATTTTTGTTATTAAACTTTACTGTTTTAAAAAAATGACTTGGTGTCAATCAGAGAATGGCATTCCTCTCATAATGTCTCTAAAATACACATGACAAGTAAAAAGCAACTACTATCCAAGAATATGGCCATGGGGAACCCCCTCAGCCTGGTTATAGCAAACTTCTACATGGAGCATTAAAAAAAACTTGGCCGGGCTTTGGCACCCCTCGCATCCACAGTCTGGTTCCGATATGTGGATGACACCTTTGCAATTTGGAGCCA